AAAAATGGATAAAATATTAGTAGTCAGTCGAAAAAGTAAGCTACTTCCTTAACTTTACTGCAGCTATAATTTCTAACATATCAGAGAATAAAGTTGTTGTTTGGTTGGTTTTTAGGAGGGACTGAAAATAGCAGCCAATGCATGAGTAAAACTGAATTTTCTTTTAATATCCAGCAGGGAGTGACTCTAACTATGGTTGCATAAAAAGTCTACAAGATAACTTCTCTGCTTCTTACTCAATTTATTAAAACAAAGTCTTCTTTAATACATTACAATGAAAAAGCAACGTATGCTTTAAGGACTGAATAAATGATTGGGTTAGGTTGCAACCATATTTCTTTTTATTTCATGAAAGATAATTGCAACATGTTGGTTACCTAAAAAACTCATATTGACATTGTGACACCCTCTCGTGTCCTTGGTTGCAAAAACACAACAGAGCCATTGCCTTTAAACCAAGATGCGACATCCAAAACACCATACTTCAGTCTTCAAAACTCCAGTCCACAAACCAATGGTTACTCTTGCTTTAAAATAGTCTATGGTTAATACACAGAAATAAGATAAGATGTTGGTAAATCAATCCATTCATCTGGATTCATTCTAAATATTTAAACTATCCTGTTGCAATAAGATACCCGGGATAAAAGCATATGTTATTGGAGAAGAAACACATCTATTGTGCTCCAACAGAGGAGGATTTGGGGATGTTTGCCTTGATATATCCAGGTTCCCTCTGGTTTTCAAAGTGACCTTTCCTGCAGTGCAATGTTTGGTTTTCTGACAGTTTGTTTGATGCTGTTTGAAGTATGACTACTCCAGTTTCTGCTGAGTGATTAGAAAGATTGTTTGATGAAAGGATATATGGGAGGAGGAGAGGAAAATAGGCACACTTCCCTCTCTCTCATATGTACGTTTACTGATATATACACTCTTTTTCTATGTGTTCTACCACGCTAACGCTCTCACTCCTCTCACTGAGCAGTAAGTGCACGATCAAAGGAAGTTAAAAAATAAACCTCGCAAAAAAATTGAACTCTCCGTGAAACACTTCCCAAAGTCTTTGAAGAACATGAGGTAGCTCACAAACTGTAGCATCAACACTAACCCGCTCAGAGCTAATTAAATGCTAGCACTAACTAATTAAGCAATTGGAACAGCACTGTAGCAACGACTGGCAAAGAGACAGTGAGACAGTGTCCCTGCAGGAAATCTGGGTGCCAGAGTTGTATGTCCCTGCAGGAGAAAGTGTCTTGAACATCTCAGCAGTACCAGAGTGCTCCTGAATAACATATATGAAACTGAATGTGTGCACATCTTTGTCACAATTGAGCCACTTTGGGCAAATTACTAAAAGCAATTGAAAAGCATTAGCATAGCGTGGGAAGCATCAGGTCTTTGTTTTTCCAAAATGTCATTGCTGATACAAAGTAGTCACATTGTGTAACTTATTGGAGATAAGCAGGCTTACTGGACTTTTTATGTTTTATACGTTCAAATAAGACATCAGAAGGCCTTTATTAGCCAGTACAATTATTAACAATGGGTGAAAGAACTAACATCAACAAAATAAGACTGAAAAGTCCAAAGACATGCAGGTTGTGTGTAAAGTTGTTGGTAGTCTGTCTCTAAGTGATATGCTGGTGTCCAGTGTGTATTCTCATGTTTGCCTTTTGGAAGCCGGTATTGGTTTCCAGCACCAGTGGTGTAGTGGTCGTTGGACGCGGGGGATCGCCGTTCCCCCACTTATTTGGAGCCCCCACTTTTATGAAGCATGATTTTTTTTGAATAGTCTAATAAATATGAAATCATTGCCAGTGTTATCAGTTGCAAGTGTGCATTTGTTGTAATAATGACGAAAACATAATACATTTCACAGTAATTATAATAAAAAAGTCTGTGTGTGTTGAGCGCAGCGCCGTCTGCTTTTTGCAGTACAGTAACTAAAGTAGGACTAAGCATACCGGTCGTTTCTGTAGACCTGTCTGCCCGTTTTGTGAGTGCACTGCGCGCGTGCGCACTTGTGGCATTGTTTGGGATGACCTAATTAAAATAGCGTCCACCCAGTAAAAAAAATCCCCACTAAACCACTGTCCAGCACTAGGGTGGCCTGGCCGATTATCGGGGCCGATATTCCGCATTTGACCGATTATCGGTATCGGCATTTTTTTTATCAAATTGCCGATAAAACTTTGGCTCTGATGCGGCCGTTTCTCTGGCTGCAGTCACCACTCTGTGTACACGAGCATTGTCCCGCCCACAGCGCTATCTGATAGGTTATTACTGAAGTGTCAATCAACACTGAAGATTTTCCGGGCGGGAGCCAGGGGGGGGGGGGGGCTGCGAGTGGAGCCTCACAGTTTTTCAGGTTGATATGTGAAGCTCATTAGCTAGCCAACATGTATCTAGCAAATGTTTAGCAAAATATTAGAAGTGAGGCTACTAGACTAACGTTAGGTCTACTGTAATAGCCTCACTTTTAATATTTTGCAAAACATTAGCTAGCACTAGTGTTTTGCAGTTGCTAGCAGCTTATTGGGATTTTATGCTAGATAGACAGGCATTGTTTTGATATAATAAATGAAGCATTATTATTAGTTAAGCATGTCAGCCTGCAGCCCCACTTTTAACTCTCTGTCTCTCTCCAACTCATTGCAGATGGCTGCACTAAAGAAAAGGGCACAGAGAGGAAACCAGTTGTAAGATGTTTAAAAGTTCATTAAACATAATATATGCTTAAATGCATTTCAAAGAAGTTGTGTTGGAGTTTGTGTTATTCTACATTTTGACACCAAGATTTTCTGATTTTACTGCAAATGTATATCGGTTCCAAATATCGGTTATCGGTCTCCTTGATTACTAATAATCGGTATCGGTATCGGTATCGGCCTTGAAAAAGCCATATCGGTCGATCCCTATCCAGCACCATACACATCATTCCAGTAAATTACTCGCATGAGTGTTTTCTTATATGCCAAATCCATGGTTAAGGTCTAACGATCTGTTGTGACTAAAGATGCTGAGAGAAGGTTTGTGGTCATGATTAAAACAAACCAGTGTCTTAGTGGTCTATTAAAACTACTTGTGTATAGAATATGTTTGCCTCATAGCTACCAACGTATGTATTGTACCAATGTTAACATCACGTGACATAGACGCCAGCCATTGGAAATGAATGGTGGAAAAAAACGTAGGGATCCTAAAATTTCAGAGGCGTTTTTGTAGAAATACTACGTCCCAAGTTGTGGACCAACATAGTTATTACACGTTTAGATGTGAGACTGGGTTGGTAACCCAGTTTCAGTGTCCTGTCCATCCACTCTGTCAGTACACAGCTGAGCTTCCATTCCCCATAAAACTGTGTTAGGGGACATGCAAGCAGCTGTGGAGCCGCAGCTAAGAAGCTGTGGTACTCTCTGGTTGCCCACTCTGCCGCCAAACCTTCCATAAAAGGAAGTTTGGGCCATGGGGAGCTGACACAGAAAGGGCCGATTTTCTACTGAGGTCCTTGAACGCACCGCGGCACGCTCTCGCGGGGTCGCGCGCTCCGTCATAATGCCGTCTTCACACAGACGGTGAAATGCATTAATCGGAGCTATTACACTAGGCGAGTTGTGTTTTCTGACAACAACACGCCGGCCCTAATGTCCCTGCACCCGCATAGTGCTTTGACAGCACTTCCTGCGGTTTATCACACTCTAGCCCACTGGCTGCCTCCTTTACTGGGGCGGCGAGTGGGGAATCGTGTCTCATAATGGGTGCCCAGTTAACATCGTATGAAACGGATCTTGCCGATTTCAACTAGACATTATGGGGAAATGTGGAATTGTGGATCTAAACGAAGGCCGGCAAAGCAGCCACTGGAGCCTTCACCTTCAGTGGCTGTCGCCACGATGCCTCCACACACTGCCAGATATCTGGCAACGGGGGCGAAATGAAGGCTGGCTGCGCCGGGCGGACCGGGCCGTAGAACCCCTGGCGGAGGCGGCTCACCGGTTTCGGCGGCAGTGGTGGGGGGAGCGGTAGCCCTACACGCTCCGCCGCCATGGTCATCACCAGGGGGAAGTCCTGGCGAACAGACCTGGGCGGTGGACTTCCATGGACGCCGGACCCGGAAGTGCCCGCCAACGAGAAGTCCTCGTCATCCTCCTCCCCGCTGGAATGGCGAACGTGAATGGCACCGCCTCGGCCATATCCTGGTCCCCCAAACACTCGAAGCAGAGGTGGTGGGGATCGGCACCCGCTATTAAGCCAGGGCCGAAGGGCAGGCTCGGGTCTCTAGAAGTGGCGACTCCATGAAGGTATGATAACTTCTTTCTTCTTCTTTCAAACGTTTTACTTTTCTCTGTCAGTTGTTGTCCTGCTCGCTGAAGAGATGATGACAGTCAGGAGGTGTAGCTGCCTTATATGCGCGCGCATTCAGGTAGGCTCGCCCTGATTGGCCGGCTACGTTTATACAACTTCAGTGTGTGAACGCTCGCGTATCATTGATGAGAGTAGTACCCATAGAGTCCAGTAGAGAGCGGAGCCTGTGTGAGATAGAACAGTCCCAAGAGCAAGAGAAGAACATGACTTTCTGGAATACACACCAACAAACATATGCCTTGTTGTTCAAATAGGAACACAGTACACACATATTTGATATTTTGAACCCATGCAAGCAATATACTGCATGTTCCGTAATGCAGAAACACTGCTTTTTCGTTTTAGCATGCACACTCACAAGAACACACGCCATGATATCATTCATGAACACCCAACTTCACACACACACACACACACACACACACACACACACACACACACACACACACACACACACACACACACACACACACACACACACACACACACACACACACACACACACACACACACACACACACACACACACACACACACACACACACACACACACACACACACACACACACACACACACACACACACACACACACACACACACACACACACACACACACAGCCGTGCGACCTCTCACCACTGATGCAGAGGCTGAAGCGGCAGAGTTCGTCACACAAAGTATCCGGGCTCTCCAGATCTCCCGGTCCCCCGGTTTTCCCTCCTTCTCTCCTTTTCTTCCTGGGCGACATCCTCTTCACCATCTTCATAACTCGCTCCACTTTGTCCATCCTGGATGATGGATGTCGGACAGAGGTTCAAGTGTTGGTAGACTTCTTGTTTCTCCTCCTTCCTTTCCCCCTTTCTTCTCACTCTTTCGCTTGTTCTTCGTCGGCCACTTCCTCCTCTTCTTTTCTAAATCTGTCTTTCTGGAAATCTCGATAACTTCCCACACTTACTTGTTTCTCGTCTCCCCCTCTTCCCTCATCTTTCTAAAATAGTGGCTTTCTTGCTTTCCAAGATCCCTCTTCCTTGTTCACAGATTCTGCACCTCTGATTTGTCCGCAGCACTTAGTTGCTTAGTCCCACAAACACTCTCCTTTTCGCCTTTCTTTCCTCTCCTCTTCAGCTCGCAGAATTCCGCTGAGCGAAGCGACGAGAGAAGTGAGACACTGAGGGAGAGGAGAGGGAGGAAGGGAGAGGACTTCTCCCTCTCCCTCTGCTCCCCCACCTCGTCACCTCCCACATCAATCCTTCAAAACTCTCAGCTGGTGCTTCCAGAGAAACAGAGCGGAGAAATAAACGATGCAACTTCCTTTTATTTAAGAACACTCAGCATGGTGCTATCTTTTGGGGTTCTCTTGCACTATGCCACACACACACACACACACACACACACACACACACACACACACACACACACACACACACACACACACACACACACACACACACACACACACACACACACACACACACACACACACACACACACACACACACACCACCACAGTGCAGCCCCAGCTGATTGATTACAATCAATCCATGTCTTCCTCCCTCCTTTTTTCTATTGTTTCTTCTTTGTCCTACCTCTTCCATATATTCCTCCCCTCTTATCAATCCTACTCCACTTGGTGCCTTGACCCTAAGCGTCCTTCCTATCCTTCCTTCATCCTAACTTACCCTCTTTGTTTATCTTTCAACATCCTTCTTCTCTTTGTCTATCTTTTTCTAATTTCTTCTCTCCCTCCTTCCCTTAGCGTGTTCTCATCTGTTCTTTGATCTCTGATTCGTGTCTTTCCATAATAAGCTCATCATCTACTCTGGAGACACACACATTCACACACACATGCATGCACATTACCGGTTTAAGCAGGCAAGACAACACACTTCTAGAACCTGTTAAGCCCGGATGCGGGTATTTCTTTCACGAAACTGTGTCTCAGGGCTTCTTAACATTTAACAACCTATTAATGTGTCATACCCACTTAACAGGAATAAACTCAGCTAACTGACGATATGAACCATTTTTACCAAAACAAAACACAAGTCTCACAAGAAGCGTCTAAATGAGCCCTGAGTGAAAAAATGCTAACGCACTTTGCACAGAACTCACGGTAGAAATACTTGATTACTTATCGGATCTGCACAAACAAGCTAGCAAGCTGAGATTCCACATATTCTAGGGGTAATAGTATCATCACTGTGCGATCAAAACCCGCGGCAGGGGAAGCTAACCCAGACATCACACAACGTAGCTTTACAGAGCAAAAACGGGACATAGTCTTACCTTAGCTGTTGTTCTGATCAAAAGTTGTGTTCAATGGCATTAAAATGCATAAAAACGCTGCTGAAGGTTAATCCATAGGTTAATCCAATGTGTCTGTGTCACTATGAAATGATTACTGATAATCCATCTTCATATTTATGGCAAAAACTGAGTTTTCATATATAGCTGCTATGATAGCTGAGAGTGTATGACAGCTTCCGGTTTTGGGCATTCTGGCTGCGCATCACTCTATTCACCAATGGGTAATGTTTAGATGGATTTTAGGAACTTCCCCTCGATTCTATTGGCTCTAACGGTTAAAAAGAGGTGTCAATCATCAAAATTGACCGATGGGTTCCAGAGATATGGAAAATGCACCCAAATGATCCCAGAAGTGTTTTTTTTCTTTCTAAATCTCTCTCAAAAGGTCAAATTTCACTTGATTTGCATCAATCTTGATACAGGGTACTTATATGTTATAGTTTGGATTCCTAAAGCTTTTAGTCTACTATCCCATCATTCAAGGGTGGTTTTCCCTATATGTAATGTTTTTCTTTTGGACGGACACTATAATTTACATTTTTTTACTATGTTCAATCTGAATTTACTTTCAAATAAAAAAATTCAATATTGATTCTGACTTTTCTACATCCAACGCACAGGTTTATCATTACTTTGAGAAAAAAGATTATTAATTTACCCCTTTTAGAAGTGAAGATACAGTCATTTGTTCTGGGAATGTCATTTTCGAGCCTGAGACCTGAAAAACAGGCTCAGGGCTTAACAGGTTAACTTCAGGTTTTTCCATACTTATTCTTACACGAGGTCTCTGTCATTACCACTCAATGACATCCCCATCTATATTTCCCTCTCACTGTATGGCACATTTTTTTCTCAATCTCACCCTGCTCACTCTGGTAGAAGTTTTTCAGTCAAACTGAGAGAAAAAGCCTCTGAAATTTCTGGAACACGGCCTGGTTCTCTCATCCTCCATCCTTTGTTCACGCTCACAGTGTGTGTGTGCGTCTGTGTGTGAACGCACCTGAAAGTATTTGTATGTCACTCAGGGAGAAGAAGCTGGAAAATCTTCATAAGCATTCTCAGGTTACGTAATGCTGTATACATACGTGTGTGTGTGTGTGTGTGTGTGTGTGTGTGTGTGTGTGTGTGTGTGTGTGTGTGTGTGTGTGTGTGTGTATGCAACCCATGAGAGACCGAAAGTGTTTGCTCTGCAGTTCACAGGTATAATTTGTCCTATACCTCTCCTTCTACTCACTTTAACTTTCCCCTACCAGCTCATTTATTATTCACACCATCCCTCTTTTGAAACGAAATAGGACCTATACAGGGATGTGTGTGCATGCATTTCGGTCTATGACTAATCGTCTGGTTTTTTTCAGTGATGCAGTGCAGACTTTACTCATCAACACTACAAATGCTCTTTACAGCATGCACTTATAATCTCCTGCTGTAGCTCTGCAGGAAGTTGTCACTATCGATTCAAACATAGAATTGGTATGAAACAAATGTTCTAATCTAATGCTTTTAAACCCATGAGCTCCTTTAAACTGTTGACATCTACAGTAAGTGCTAAATTCAGAAGTATGTTTTTTTGGGGGGTTTTGTTTTCTTTCCCAAGGTGCCTACTCGCATATACTGCAGTAGATGAGTACATTTGCAATATAGAGTGGGATATGTGTGTTAATGGTCCAAACCAAGAGTACCCAGTACGTTAGAGGCAGTGGAGGGCATTGTTTGGACAGACCATAAGAACTTGGAGTATATCAGGAAAGCCAAGAGACTTAATTCACGTCAGTCCCGTTGGTCTCTGTTCTTTAACAGATTCAAATTCACGATTTCCTTCCGACCGGGTACTCAGAATGGAAAACCAGACGCACTGTCACGACTCTATGAGCCAGAGCCTACTGCCAAGGAACCAGAGGCAATCCTTCCACTGAACTGTGTGGTTGGGGCGGTCTCCTGGCAGATAGAAAATGATGTGAGGCTAATGTTGTGAGCCCAGCACTTAGTCGGTGTCCGAATAATCGTCTGTTTGTCCCTGTGTCGTTACGCTCCAAGGTAATCCACTGGGCTCACACCTCTAAGCTCACATGTCATCCAGGTATCCGGCGAACGATGTTCACCATAAGACAGTGTTTCTGGTGGCCAGCCATGGTGAAGGAGGTGACGGAATACGTGGCTGCCTGTCCCGTGTGCGCCCGTAACAAGACCTCATCCCTGGCTCCGATGGGTCTACTTCAGCCTCTGCCCCAACGCCCTTATCTCGCTGGACTTCGTCACCGGACTACCGCCTTCTAAGGGTAACACTGCCGTTCTGACGGTAGTAGACCGATTCACCAAGATGGTTAACTCTACCAAGGAAACGGCAGAGGTCATGCTAACCCACGTATTCAGGATTCATGGTTTCCCCAGTGATGTGGTGTCCGACCGAGGTCCCCAGTTCATCTCCGTCTTCTGGAGGGAATTCTACCGGCTCCTAGGCGCCACCATCAACCTGTCTTCCGGCTACCACCCCCAGTCCAATGGCCAGACAGAACGCCTAAATCAGGACCTCGAGACCTGCCTCAGATGCCTCGTGTCCCAGAGCCCGAGGTCATGGAGCGACCAACTCATATTCAAGCCTGTGTGGAATACTCCCACAATACTCTTCCCTCGGCTTCTACAGGTCTCTCCCCCTTCCAGTGCGCCTATGGATATCAACCTCCGCTGTTCCCAGCCAACGAGGAGGAGGTCAGAGTCCCGTCTGCGCACGCCATGGTCCGACGTTGTCGGAAGGTCTGGGCCGGAGCTCGGCAGGCACTCCTTCGGACATCCGCTAGGATGAAGGCAGCGGCAGATTGCCCCCGGGTCAGCGTGTCTGGTTATCCACTAAAGACTTACCCCTACATGTTCATTCCAGGAAGTTGGCACCAAGGTTTGTGGGTCCTTTCCCAATTCAGAACATTATTAACCCTGTCGCGGTGCGTCTCCGACTCCCCAGGTCTCTCAAGGTCCACCCCACGTTCCACGTCAGCAAAATCAAGCCTGTTCAGGAGAGCGCCCTGGTTCCCACCTCTAAGGCCCCTCCACCACCCCGGATCATCGACGGACGCCCGGTATACACGGTCAGGAAGCTACTAGCGGTCCGCAAGCGGGGCAGAGGACATCAATACCTGGTCGAATGGGAGGGATACGGTCCTGAGGAGCGCTTATGGGTAGCTCCCGCACTTATCATTGATAAAACTCTGATCAGGGACTTTGTAACATTTCTGAATGATTCTGAATCACTACCTGAACGTGCTCGGTATGATCCGTGACTTGACACATTAGTCTGCCGTCTAATGCGCTGGCATTAATGGGGTGGGCCAAAGGAATAGTCTTAAGGTTAAGTAGTTTGGCTAGCTCCCAATCTATAAGACTCTCGTCGGCCCCAGAGTCAATCAGTGCCTCTAGTGTGTGCTCTTGGTTGTTAACTATGAGTGTTACCTGAATAGGTGTGCGTGGAGGGTATTTCGAGGGGAA